CCCGAGGGGCTGCATGCCCGAGGGGCTGCATGCCCGAGGGGCTGCATGCAGGGCCCTGCTGTACCTGACGCCTCCTCATCGAAGCAGGCGAAGGCGTTGCGGATCACGTCCTCTGGGTCAGTACCGTTCAGCTTCTCCCCAAACATGGTGAGGAACATGGTGAAGTTGATGGGCCCCGGCGCCTCACTCATCATCCCCTCCAGGTACTCATCGGTGGGGTTCTTCCCTGTGGGACACAGGCAGGGGTGTGGGTGCAGGCCCCTGTTCCCCCAGCTCCCATTGCAACGGCCAGCCCATGCACTCAGCTGGATGGGGCTTTTTTTCATTGCAAATTAATTTGCTGGCTCTTGTTCACCACCCCATAAACATGGGGAGGGGGTTTCTGCAGTGCCCAGTGCTCCCCCCTCAGCATCTCCCTCCATGCTATAATCCAAATCTGTAACCAAGCTCTGCCTTGGGGGAGATGCAGTAATTAATTTAGGGGTTACTGGGAACGAAACCCATGGTTTTTCCCACTCCCCTGGCAGCTGACACCCAGCCCCCCCATGGAGAGAGGCAGCAATGTCCCCACACAAGCCTCATGCTGCTGATGTCCCCAGCCCCTGTCCTATCGTGGTTTAACCTCCTCTACTGAGGTCTGTGCCCCCAGCACCGGCCCCTCTCTGCTCCCAGAGCTCCAGCTCAATGAGAGGAGGGAGATTCCTCCCAGGGCCAGCCAGGACCTCCAGAACAGGTTTGGCTGCCAGGTCAATCATTGACAGACCTCCCAAAGTGCAGTGAAGGTACGGCTGGGAGCAGGAGGAGGGAGGCACGGTCTGCAGCAAAGGAAAACAAGCTCCAGGTGGGGTGTGGGGACAGACCTGCATGTCTCAACCAGTCGAGGTATCACACCAGCATGGGAACTAGCCTTTGTTACCCCAGATGAGAGCAACAGGAAGGGACAACCTCAGGTGACGTATTCTGCCTGCAGCTCGTGCTCCCTCCCAAGGCAGAGCTTCTCCAGCCCCAAGGGTCTCTTCACTTCTGGTGAGCACGGCTGTAAAAGCAGCACACCGAGCTGCTGCCCTTGGGTGTCTCACAAATGCACTTTCTGTGGTCAGCTGGTGCCAGCAGAGAATTCCCCTGCAGGTTTTGGAGCATCCCACCACAGCTGGTCTCCAGCACTGGGTGTGGGTATTAGGTCACCCAGCAGTTCCCCCTACTCCTGAGGAGATGCTGGGAGCAGAGGGGCTGCGAGGGCAGGGCCTCCTCACCAAGGGAAGCCAGCATGTCGTGCAGATCCTCCTTGTCGATGAAGCCATCACGGTTCTGGTCAATCATGTTGAAGGCTTCCTTGAACTCCTGGATCTGTGACTGGTCGAACATAGCGAAGACATTGGAGGTGGCGCGCTGGGGGCGCTTCTTGGTGGTCTTGGCTTTGGCACGTTTGCTGGACATCTTGGCAGCTGGGGGGGTACCTGGGGACAGGAGCATCAGGAGGCTGGAGCACTGGAGTAGGGGCAGGAACATAAGACTTCTGGCAGCCCCAATCCCATGCCTCAGTTTCCCTGGCTGTCACACAGTTTGGCAACAGGGAGATAAGGAGGTCACATGCTCAGACATGGGGACAGGCAAGACTTGGGCTCTGATAAGTCCCCTGGGCAGTCCCAGCGCAGGCAGTGCCCACTAGCACTCCTTCCCCAGGGCTGTTCCCCAGGGGTTGCAGGCAGCCCCCAAGCCCACTTGCTGCCTGTCCCCTTTGCTTATGGGCACAGGGAGAGATGCCCAGCCCAGCACCCATCTGGGTGCCATCCCAGGGGGCTATGGGGATGGGTGTCTGGCCATTTTGGGTAGATCATGGCCATGCCCCTCCAGCCTCCCCTCACCCTGGCAGGGCTCTCCCAAGCCCCAGCCCAGCTCCTGGATTGGTGGGTTTACCTCAAACCCTCCATGTTGTGGCAGAGAAGCAGCCCTAGCACCCAGCAGGAAGGGGTTATCTGCTATGGGCACATTCCTCACATACCAGTGCTTCCCATCCCCCTTTGTCCATCCATCCATCCATCCATCCATCCATCCATCCATCCATCCATCCCACCTCCTGCCAGGTCAAAGGCCACTTGCCACTGCTCTCCCTGCCCAGGTGCCCCCCACCCTGCCTGGGGAGCCCATGGGAAGGGCCCTGAAGCAGAGGGGAGAGGGGACTATTAACCTCAAGGGGCTACAGAGCCCCTGCAGGGCAGGGGAGAGAGGCCAAGCAGTACCAGGATTGTGGGGACGCTGAGCACTGGTGCTCTTGTTACAGTTAATGAATGCCAGGAGAAGAGGAGAGCCCAGGGAAGGCAGCAGTGGGACAGACAGACCTTTGGGAACACAGCAGTGGGACAGACAGACCTTTGGGAACACAGCTGGGGCAATACGTGTACCATGGGCAATGGCAAAGGGACCATGTGGACTGCAAGCACCACCAAGGCAGGAAAACCTACCTCATCCTTCCAAGCTGGGGGTTCCAGCCCCCAGCAGGAACAGGAATAGAGCACAGAGCCCACTACCACCTTGGGATGGCACCCAGGCTCCCTCACAGTCTCTGAGCAGGGGGCTGGTGATATCCCCACATTACCAGGCTGAGGGATGCAGTCAGTGTTTGGGACACCCTGCACTGTGGATGCTGGGGACTCAAAATGGGTCTGTATGGCGTGCTCAGTATACCCAGCAACCACCTACACTGACTGAGAGGAGAATGCTCAGGCTTCTCCCAGGGGAATCTTGCCAGGCATAACTCAGCAGGATGCCAGCAAAGCCCAGCTTGGCAGAGGGATGGTCCTGTGGGACAGGCTGGGATGGTCCTGCGGTACAGGCTGGCCCGAGGTCAGCCCAGGGAAGCTTCACTGCTCCAAGCCCTTGTGCTTGCTGCAGCCATTCCTCCCTCACACACAGCCCTGGGCCTCAGTTTCCTCATCTGGGCCAGCGTCTGGTTTGGGGAGCAGCTGTGGGGGCAATGGTAAATTAATGGATTATGAAGGAATTCCAGGGGAAGAGCAGAGTATCAGTCCTGTGCTCTGTGTGCCCCATGCCTGGTGGGCAGCAGGGACCTGGGCTCCTGCCCTGCCCTGGGACAGAGCAATTCAGGAGCCACGTCATGCCACATGAAGCAACAAAAAGCAACACCCCCAGTGAGCTGTGGGCCAAGACCATCCTGCAGGCCTGGACCCCCCGGGTTGGCTGCTCTGGGATCTGCTTCCCATCAGGGTCCTTAGTGCTGCCTCAGGGGGACTGTGGACCTTTGGGGAGCACCCCTTCCAGCAGGACTCTGGCACTGGCACGGACCAGGGCAGAACAAAAACAGCCTTCCCCTGCCCTTCCAAAGCTTCCCCATTGCCCCCCACACTGGACTCTCTTTCCAGCTCTCTCCCTTCCCTCCTGCTATACTCTTTCAAGGGGGAGCAGAGGCAGGGGCTGGTGCAGCCACCGGCCTGGTCCCCAGCCTTCTGTGGTCCCCAGGCTCCCCTAGCTGGGCTGTGCTGGAAGGACATTCCAGGGGCAGTAGGCAGTGCCAAATCCCAGTTATACACACCTTGGCAACCAGCCAAGCTCAGACAGGGTTGGGGACTCTTCCCTCACCCCGACAACAGTCCCATCCCACTGCGGGAGCATCCACCAAACCCAAGCATGGCCCTTTAACTGCAGGGGAGGTGCCTGGAGGAAACAGTCCCCAGGAAACAGTCCTCCCTTGTCCCTCATATTCCCCAGTGGCTGTGGCACTGGGATGGAATCCACACTGCCCTCAGCCCCCTCTCTTGCACTGCACCCAACACCTGACAGCAGCCATCGAATCACCCCACCATCCTCCTAACCCTACATCCTTTCCCAGTGCCCACCAGGAAAGAGACATTTGTCACCGGCTAGCCAAGGGGAGCAACAGGACTTGGGAGCCCAGCTGTGCCCACACAGGGTGGCCAGGAGACCTCACCCCCCCCAGCCCATCTCTGCCCACTGCTTCCTCTGGCACTACTGCACCATAAAGCTCTTTGCAGCAGGACAGCCCTGCCAGGCACCGTCACATGCCAGTGACATCCCCAGGATGACACCCCACAGCAGCAGTGCGGTGAAGCTCAGTTCAACACCTCAGCTCTACCAGGCCATCAGAACCAGCAATAAAAGCTCTGCAGCTGGCCCACGGCACTGGGCTCCACTTTCAAAACACACAAAATTATTAGCAGAATTATTAGCAGAAGACTAGAGAAATAAGCAGGAGTTTTGATCTCACCACAGGAATTAATCTTATCCAAATATTTACCTTGCCCTGGCTGTAACCAGCTTGAGACCTCTCCAGAGAGATGGTGCTCCTTAAGGGGATCAAGTACGATTTTAACAGCATGTGGATCTGCTGTTTGATCCAAAATATGCCCTGGAAAGATGCTCAGTCCCCAGGTCCAGCTCAGTCATTCTACCTCTGCTGTTAGACAGCTTCCTTGGGCTGGCTGGGACTTGGGAAGGGACTTTTTTGGGTCGGTGTGGGGAAAGGTTCCTGTGTATGAGATAGAAGGGATCCGCAGTGAGACCTGGTTTGACTGGGGTAAAACTCCCACATGCTGCCCTGGTCCTCGAGGCCATGCTTTCCGGGATTCCCCAAATCCCCATGCTGAGAGTGTTTCAGGGAACGCCCAGCCCTGATGCCCTGCATGCTGGCATGGATTCAGCTCAGATAAATGGTGCACCACCAAACCTTCAGCTTCCTCTGCAGCAAGAGGGAAACCCACTGACACTGGTCCTGCTTCTGCTGACCCCCACTGAAAGCCCCATCCCAGCACTGCTCCAGCCCAGGAGCTGCAGATCTTGGGCAGCAGAGCTGAGGAGGTGAGTGCTGGAGTGACACCACAAAGCCATGTGCTGGTCTGATCCCAAAGTCACCCCATCACTAGCTGCTCTTATTTCCTTGTCCTTCTGCCACTGCTCCTGCCAAGACCATCTCCCAGCCTCCTGTACCACAAGGCTTGTGCCTCCCCCACCTGAGAGCCAGACCCAAGGGACCATGGGGCTGGCTTAAAGAGTTCAGAAATTAGTAAACAGTTTACTTTTAAAGAGAAAGAGGAAAAGATCCACAGTTATCAGAAATATAAATTGCCATGTGTTTTCTCCTTGGTAAAAAACAAACAAGCAACTCCATCCTGGTGCTGCTTCCAGGCCACGCTGGGGAGGGTGGGACAACCAAAGGGACATGGCAGTGCTGCCAGGGCAGGCAGCCCCATCCCATCCCCATCCTCCTCCGTCCTGCCTGCTGCCACCTGGCACAGCTGGGCAGGGACATCACCCACTCCACCCAGCTCCACTGGGCAGTGAGAGGCACGGTGTGCTGGATGCTTTTGGTCAGGGAGGGGAAAAAGTGATTCCAACAGCCTGGGCTGTCCCAAGGGACACCCCTGCAGGGTGAACAATGGCTCCTCAGGGGGACTGTGGTTAAATCTCTGCCCAATGCCACTTTCCAAAAGAAGTTGCAAGTCCTAGCAAGCCATGACACAGCCATGTTCACTGGTGGGCAAGGACGGGCCCTCCACCACACACAGCCACCCACATCTCAGCCCCTGACAGCCCTGCACAGGCAGCAGTTGCCACCCCCTCTCCCAAGGTGGCATGAGGGCCAGCAGGGGCGAGGTGGTGCCCTGCAGCATCCCACTGTGGCACAGGACACTGCAGGGCAGTGCTGCAGCCAGGGTATCATTCCACCTGCAAAGCTTTGCCATCTGCAGGCACCTCTCCCAGCACTGGGACTGCCTCTGAGCAGATATCCTGCCTTGCAAGACAGCGGGACACATGGACCAGGGGGTCACACTGGAGGAAGAGCAGGCAGCAGCTCATCTTCCCTGCCTAATTTGTTGTTAAACTACCCCTTTCCTCCAACACAGCCCTTCTCAGGATGCACTTGGGATGTGGCATTGCTCAGCTCCACTGAGCAACAGGTTCTGGTGCCAGGGGAGCCACACTGCCAGCCAGAGGCTCCGGGAGCTGCGTGAGGAGTCCCCGGTCCGCTCAACACTGTAGGAGTGGAGGCAGCTGCCATTCTGCTACTTTTATTGCCTTATTAGAGATGGGCAAAGGGGGCTTGGAGGTGAAGAGAAAGCAGAACCTGAGCCCTGAGCTATGTCTCCATTCCAGCCACAGCCACCAGCACTGATGCCAGCAAGGAAGGAGCAGGGCAGGAGTCAGGAGGCAGAGCAAAGCATGCAGTGACCCCCGGGAGGCAGAGTTCATCCCAGCCCTCCCTGAGTTCTCACCAGACACTGGGGACCTCTCCAGGCCCATGCACAGCTGTGGAGCTCGGCTTCGAGTTCAGCAGAACATTTCTGGACCAGCTCCTTCCTGCCAAGTTTAGGGAACAAGGACTGCCCAGTGCCCATGTGGCACATGCAAACCCTTCCAAACAGCAAGCCTTCTGCAGCCTCCACGAGAAGAAGCCTGTGCACAGGCAACCTCAGTATGCAAAGGACCCAACACCCAGCACCTTCTGATGCTCAGGAGGCTGGGAAATGGACCACAGGGCTGAAGGACTTCATGGCCTTGGGCCAGCAGCATAACATGCCCTGACCAGGGCTTGGTATTTTCCCAGGGAATTAAGGCTCACCTCGGCAGGGAAATCTGGCCGCAGCGCCTCCGAGGGGGAGGTGACCACAAACTCCTCCTACAGCGCACAGAGCCTGCCAGAGAGAAAGGAAAAAAATTCCAGCAACTGAAGGAACCCAACCATCTTTGGTCAGCAGCGGTGGTTGTTGACACTTGGGGATGTTCCACTCCAAAGAATGCTGCTCCAGCTGCCGCCTTCTCCTACACATCCACGTTTTAGAGTATCCCTGGCTTTTATCACAGTTGAAACATTTTGTACCAAAAGGGCATGCCGGGAGGGAAGCCAAGAGGACCTTATGTTTTCATGGGAAAGGCTAAAAAAACCAACATCCCTCTGCGTTTAAGGCTGAGGAAAATGAGCTAAATAAGGCTTTTCTGCCTTACAGCAGTTTATTGCCTGACATTGCTCCCAGGTCACTGGGGAGATCTCTGGAGCATCACGCATGCATCCAGATCTTGCCTCTGGCCATCAGCAAAAGGACTCGGGGGAAAAGCAGATGTTCCAGACAGGAACAGTTCTCACAGACCAGGACGCGTGTGCAACCGCGGGCGGCAGGATCTGCTCCTCTAGCTGTGCCATGCCAGGGAAGCTGGGATGTCCCAACTCCGAGGCATTGCGGACAGTTCCCCAGAGCCTGGCTCAGGAACGATCCTCACCTGCCGTCGCCCGGACACGCCTGCCGGGCCTGGCAAGAGGCTTCCCGGGCAGAGGGTGCCCGGCAGGGCTCACCGGGAATCCTCCTGCCGCCGAGTAACCCCGGTCCCAGGGCTGACCTCGGCATCAGCTCCAGCACCGCAGACCTGGAGGAGCGGCGGAGCTGCCTCCCTCTGCTCCCTCCGCT